TGAGAGCCTACTAACTGTTATCGGTGTAGTGAAATGAACCTCACACCCAGGAGCTCGGCAGCTGAATGAAGCAGATAATGAAGGGCAGTGAAAGACGGTTGACTTGAGCCGAGCCCACATTTCTGCTGTGTGCAGTTAGTTACAGTGTCTATGAAGACCTGATGGGGTTGGGCATTGTTTTTAGCGTTTCACATTAAATCCTCACAGCTCTGAGAATAGGTACTGTCATTCCACATGTTTGAGAGGAAGGAAAAATACACAGATCCACTTTAGTGGAAGTTTATTTACCTTAGTGGAAAAACTAGGGTTACATTAGACATTTGGGCTCTTTAAGAGGAATCCAGAAAAGCAATTAATTTTAGATGCTACTTGAACTTTATAATCAAAATTTAAAATTCACTGTAATTTAGAGTATGGAAAAGTTGGAATAATATTGTATTGCTACAGAGTCTTAGACTAGAGTGCCTTCTGTCTTCAATTTGATCCAAATTGAAATCAAGAGATCATAAAGCAAAGGGTTTTTTCCTCTTGGGTTTTCTTTTTTTTTTTTTTTTTTTTTTTTTTCGAGACAGGGTTTCTCTGTGTAGCCCTGGCTGTCCTGGAACTCACTCTGTAGACCAGGCTGGCCTGGAACTCAGAAATCCGCCTGCCTGTGCCTCCGAAGTGCTGGGATTAAAGGCATGCGCCACCACTGCCCGGCTCCGGCAGGGTATTTTTCTGTTTGCCTATATTGCAGGAAAATAGCAGAATTGGTGAATAACCTTGGCATTTGCCTCAAGTAATACCAGGAAGGGAAAAGAACTTGCCAACCTTTATAGAGGTATAGGCAAGTCACCTTTCTGTTAACTAATAGGATCCTTAGGTCCCTGTCCTTTGCTGACATCTAGAAAAGACTTTCTAGGAAAGAGCAGTTTCTTGTTTACTTGTACAAATGGTCATTGCTTAAGTATATTTTAAACATACTTAATCATTTTAGTTTCAATTTAGTTCGCATGCTACACACACACACACACACACGCACACACACGCACACACGCATGCGCACATGTGCACACACTCTTATTCTTGCTCTCTCTCTTTCTTTTTTTTTTTTTTTTTTTTTTGGTTTTTCTGGTTCTTTGAGACAGGGTTTCTCTGTATAGCCCGGGCTATCCTGGAACTCACTCTGTAGACCAGGCTGGCCTGGAACTCAGAAATCCACCTGCCTCTGCCTCTCAAGTGCTGGGATTAAAGGCGTGCACCACCACCACCCGGCTTATTCTTGCTCTCTTGTTCTTGCTCTTTTCTGTCTCTTTTTTCTTCCCGAGTTGAGAGTCTTGTAATATAGCCTAGGTTGGCCTTATACTTAGGATCCTTCTGCCTTACCTTCTAAGTAAGTAGGATTACAGGTAGAAGCTACCAAACCCAGATACTTTGAGTATTTTCAAGTCCTTTCACCTTTACCCTTAAAGTATTTAGTTATGTGATTCCTTCTTCAGTTTATAATGGATTTCCCATTACCAGTAATCTCCTTTTCTTACAAAAATGCCCTTACCTCTGCTCCATGAGACTAGACTAAACCCCTTATTATCCTGACTAGTCTCTGAATATTCTATTCTATGCCAAACTCCCTTCCCTTGGTGATGTCAGTTTCAGCCAGACTACACAGTTCTTTTTCCTGCTTTCTTCCCTTCTTTTCCATTCTGTTCCTCTTTCATTTTTCCTTTCCTCTTTCCTTTTCTCTCTTTTCTCTTTCTGTTCTGTTCTGTTCATTTCCTGAGTTTTTTACTTGTTCAGGCTGGCCTGGGACTCAGAGATCTGCTTGCCTCTACCTCCCGAGTGCTGGGATTTAAGCCATGCACCACCACATATAGCCCTAATTTTTTTTTTTTCACTTTTAAAAAAATATATGTCTGTTTCACATGAAACATCTTTATTACTTATTAGTATATGTCTGTTTCACATGGAATATCTTGACTGGTGCTAGTACATTTTTGACAGGAAAACAAAAGGTTCGAATGCTTGGTAGGGTCTGTCCTAGTAAGAAAGGAATATAGTGTAGGATTATATAGATTGCAAGCAACTCAATTCTTTTAAAACCAAATCTTCTTTGTTTTTTCCCCTACAAGTAAAATTCTCTGAAGATAGACATAGTGCCATTTAACAGTTTCCTTACCGTCCACTCCCTCCCCCGCTTTTCTTTTGTTCTCTTTTTCATGACAGGATTTCTGTGTTGTCCTGGCTGCTCTGGAACTCACTCTAACAGGCTAGCCTCAAACTCAGAGATCAACTTGTCTCTGCCTCTTGAATACTGGGATTAAAGGTGTGCACCACTACCACCTGGCATGCAAATATACATTATATATACATTATCCATATATATGTATATGGAAAAAGTGTTGTGTGTATGATGGATGTTGGCCTGCAATATGTCTGTGTACCATGCACACTTTTGATACCCACAAGAAGAGGGTATTGGGTCCACTAGAACTTAAGTTGACAGGTGGTTGTGAGCTGCCATGTCAGGTTGGGCATCAAACCCAGGTCCTCTAGAAGAACAGCCAATTCTCTTAATGCAGAACCGTCTCTCCAGCCCCTTGTTTTGATTTTTTTTTTTTTTTTTTTTTGAGACAGGGTCTCTATAGTCCAGGCTAGTCTTAAACTCTCAGCAATCCTTCTGCCTCACCCTCTTGTGTGTAGGTGTTGCAGGTGTCAGGCACTGTGTTTTGCTCCTTATATTACTTTTTTTTTTCTCTCTTTTTTTTGTTTTTAGAGACAGGATTTCTCTGTGTAGCCCTGGCTGTCCTGGAACTCACTCTGTAGACCAGGCTAGCCTCAAACTCAGAAATCCGCCTGCCTCTGCCTCCTGAGTGCTGGGATTAAAGGCGTGCGCCACCACCGCCCGGCTTATATTACTTTTTAAATTTTACTTTTTGGCTGACACTTCTATATAAGTCTACACTTTTCATATACTAAAGAAACTAAATAATGGTATCTGAAATTCCAAAGTGCAGTAGGTGAAAGCTTCGAGTAGAGACTTAGAGTCATCGTTCTTGTGGAGTAATTGAGAAGCTAGTGTGCTGTGTTTGTGTGTTTAGCCATAGGAGCCCTGAGCCATTGAAATACTTTTTGCAACTATTGAGAAGGAAAAGATCTACATGACTCCTTCGAGAGTCTACAAACAGATGTGTATTCCTCCTCGGAAACTAGATAGATAACTTGATTTTACTTAGTTTATTTAAGGAAAAGACCCCTTTGAATCCCACTCATGTTCCATTCATACATCTGGGACAATTTCCATTCATCTTCTCCAGTCCTAAAGTTAAGTAAAAATCAATTCATGTGTTGTACTAAAACCACATTTGCTATACGTTACCTGTTTTATAGCTTCTGTATTTGCCTGGCATTGCAGTGTATCTTGAGCTTGTAAAGCTGGTTAATGTTCTACTTTAGTGTCATGTGTGTATTAATGGTTAGGTAGCTGCTTGGCTTTTTGCCCTGGGTGCTGTGTGAGTTATAACTGAGTTTTATTACTGGCTATACTTATACTATTTGAAGAATTAAAGGGAAGTGAAAGTAAAAGAGTCTTAGTCTCATTCTGGACCTTATTCAGATTGTGTCCTGTTTTTAGGGAAAGAGTTTGACAAACGAATTCCCTAAGATAGAGCCTACATTGCTCAGCACAGTGAAGGGAATGTAGAGCTGGGGGACAGCCCTTCAGGCAGACTGTTTATTTTTTTTGTTTGAAGGATTTAATTACCCATAGAATTAGTGACCCATTCTAATAGAGATCTTTCTAGTAACAGGTGACTTCTGTACTCACACACTTTTTGGTTTTCAAAGACTTGCCATCTGTAGAGGCACTGTCTATTAAGCAAATACTGTAGCATCTGCTATTATACAGAGCAAAAAAAAAATTCCCTTTCTTTCTTTTTCTTTTTTTTTTTTTCTTTTTTTTTTGGGTTGTTAGAGACAGTTTCTTTGTGTAAGCCTGGCCGTCCTAGAACTCTCTGTAGATTAGGCTAGCCTTAGACTCAGATCAGTTTCTGCTTTGATTAAAGGCATGTGCTACCACACCCAGCTATTAAAATTATTAGATAGCTCTTTCTACCTATATTGTAAGTTCTAGATTCTTTAAAAGATTTATGTATATGAGTGCCCTATCTGCATATTCACCTGTATGCCAGAAGAGGGCATCAGCTACCATCATAGATGGTTGAGCCACTATGTGGTTGCTGGGAATTGAACTCAGGAACTTTGGAAACACATGGAGTGCTTTTAACAGCAGAGCCATTTCTCCAGCCCCAAGATCCCTACTCTTAAGAGATAAATTTAGTTTGTTAAGCAAGCAATTCTTTCTTGTGTCTCTGTATAATCTTTATTCCCTGTTCAAGCCTTTCCTAGTCTGTACTCTCAGTGGTACTTTTTAAGTATCTCTAGCTCTCTTAAGACATGTGTATACCCTTGTGGCTCCTTGAAGAGCCTGCCTAGCTGAGGAGGTGTCTGACAGAGCCCCTCCTATAGAACTTGTTTTAACTCTGCACAGGTGTGAGCTTTGTCTGCTCAAGCCAGTAGTCTGCTTCTTCAAGAATTCTGACCTTTTCAATCTTTTACTCCTTTAAAAATAGTACTTTACCTTAGACTACAGACCCTGAAACCTAATGCAGTGGATAAATAACTGTGTTAAATGTTATGAGGGTAAGAGAGGGTAAGTTCAGCAGTTCAAAGTCCTTAAAATTCACCAAGAAACACAATGCTTATAAATCCCCTTGACCCATAAATGCCAGCCCTCAGCAGTTGCTCTGTTCTTTAGCTTCATTCATCTCTGACCTCTGTAGTTCTCAGTTATACAACAGCAGTTGAATGCCACATTTTTTAAAAGATGAAGATCTATTATGTTTTCATTATTGTCACTGTTGGTCTTGCATTGATAGATAAAATAGGGTTCATAATGATGATAATATGTGAATGTCAAATTTTACTTACAGGTTTGGTAACATGATCTTAATTTTTTTTTCCAGCTCCAGAACCTGGGTATCAACCCAGCAAACATTGGCTTCAGTACCCTGACTATGGAGTCAGACAAATTCATCTGTATTAGAGAAAAAGTGGGTGAGCAGGCTCAGGTGGTGATCATTGATATGAATGATCCGAGTAATCCAATTCGAAGACCAATCTCAGCAGACAGTGCCATCATGAATCCTGCCAGCAAAGTGATTGCACTGAAAGGTATAAAGGATTGTGGATGTGTCTCTTAAAATTCTTATGTTTGTTGTATGCAAATAAAATTATTGATTTGTACTTTTTCTTTTATATGTTGAATAAATTTAATTAGATCTGTAAAGTTGGGATTAATCCTGAACTTTGGCTAGTGTTCATAATTTAAACATGGAGTGTTTCTCTGAAATGTAGAATAGATGTGCTTGAAATGATGAGAAGTTTTAGGATAAATACATTTAAGTTTTATATCTGATATGATAAAAGGCTAAAAGCATTTCTGTATAGGGGAATGAAATTAATATTCTGTAATAAGTCATAACAATATTAGTATCTAAACATTTCAGAAGTTATTGTAACAATCAGCTTCTCCATTCTGTGCCTTTCTATAGTTTAGGTTTCTTTTCACTTAGATCATCAAGTGCTAAAAATGGCTTGAATTTAAACTGGCTAGAGAGAGTTGGGGGGAGAATAAGAGTGAGTGAATACCAAGCACACTATTTTTAAATAATAATAATAATAGTTGAGTCTTGCTTTTGTCATCCAGCCTGGCTTTGAACCTGGAATCCTCTTGGCTAAGGCTCTTGAGTAGCTGAGATCATAGGTGTGGGCAGCTAGGCCCAGCCAAACTAATTTGTTTTTACAGAGAGCAATGCTGCAGATCAATCTAAATAGAGTTAAGCAATCTCATTTTATCTGAGAACCTATTTTCTTTTCCTTTGAAACTTAGAATGAAGGTATAATAGAAGACTAGAAGTTACAAGGAAGTCTAGGTGCCAAACTGCTAGACATTTGAAATGGCATTTAAAACTGCCTCCTTTGCTTTGTGCTTTAATTAGAGATTGGATCCAATGCTGCACACATGCTAGGCAGGTGTGCAGATGGTTAATATGGAGCTATATCTCAGCCTTCATTTTTCTTGATAATAAGAAAGAGAACTTGCCGGGCGGTGGTGGCGCACGCCTTTAATCCCAGCACTTGGGAGGCAGAGGCAGGTGAATTTCTGAGTTCGAGGCCAGCCTGGTCTACAGAGTGAGTTCCAGGACAGCCAGGACCACACAGAGAAACCCTATCTTGAAAAACCTTAAAAAAAAAAAAAAAAGGAAAGAGAACTCAGTTTCCCAGTAATTTATAAAAGTGTGGATGAGTTTTTAGAGGTGCTGAACTTTTTAACCTGTCTTTTCTTCACATCACTTAAACTTGGGGGACTTACTTTGGTGTTACAGGTTTTTGTTTTGGTGAGACAAGCTCTCTCTGTTTTGTAGCCCTGCTGTCCTGATCTTGTTATTAGACCAGGCTAGCTTCCGATTCACAAAGATCCACCTGCATCTGCCTTCCTAGTGCTGGGATCAGAGGCACACACCACCATGCCCAGCCCATTTAATCTTCAAAATACATCTTGAATAACTCTTAGTAGAAATGTTTGGCTCTAGAAGTATTGAGAGCTTTTTTGGCTTTGAGGAAATTTTTTAGAATTCTTTTTAGAACATTTTGTTTATTTTTTGTGTTTCTTTGTGAGGGCATACATGTGAAGGTCAGAGGACAACTTGGGGCAGTCTGTTCATCTTCTACCATGTGGGGCTGGCTTGGCAGCACATGCCTTTCCCTGCTGAGCATCTCAAAGACTTAGCTTTGGGTTCTTTGCATAGATTTTATTCTTGAGCACCATTAATCTGAAAGTCAATGATTGGAAGCCTGGACTTTCTGGTTTCATGGCACAGGTTTTGGAACATTTTGGAGTGTCTTACTAGCAGGTTGGGAACAAACAGTCAACATGACAGTTTGTCTGGCAAAATTGATTTCATCCTCAGGAAGGATATTCTACCTTTTACCTATGACCAGATATTTTGGGATAGTATACATTTTGCTTTTATCTAAAAGTACATTACATTTTAAAGTATTAAAATGTCTGTTAGCCTTCTTAAATAATTTGAGTTTGGGTGCTTTGCATACATCACACTTCTCTTTTTAAAGGCCATCAGTTAAATTTTGCCAAGTTCTTTTCGAGTTTTAATGTTACTATTATCTTATCACATTTCTTAATGCTTTCTTATGTGTGCAGATGGTGAGTTACCTTAAATTAGATTGTGTTAGTCATTGTCCTGTTCTATAAAAAGAATAATTAAAAAGAAATTAAAGCTTTGCAAAATAGTGTATTATACTTAGTATCTATCTGTCTACTTCATTAGCTTTTATCCCTTGTTCTCTTCTCCAGACACTTACAGATAGTCCAGCCCCTTTTATGTAATACAGAATAAAAGTCTAGTTATCTAGAGGTTGGTGGATGCAGTAAAGAAAGACAAATTCTTAAAAAAAATTCTGCTTCCCTCTGAAGCCAGTTTAAACTTCATGCCTTCTTTTTATAAACAGGACTATAACTTTCACAATTTCTCCAGTCTGGTTGTGATTTATAAACTGTGTGGGATGGGAGTCATACACTGTCTTATAGAAGAAGACTTTGTTGTGTAGTAAGATGGGTTGCAGTACAAAGCTCTTAGGCTTTGTCTGTTTCCCACTTCCCCTGTCACCCTCCCACTCTGACAGCTTTTGTCCTTTAGGAGCCAGGTTTCTCTGTGGCTCAGGAATGGAGTTGTCCTCAGTCTCTGAGGATTAATCTGCATAGCCTAGTCATAACTGTGGGCTTTGACTGCTGTTGATTTCAGTGAAATCACCTTTCTTGACTGCGATAAATTTCAAATGACAAGTATAAGACCTTGTATCTGACTCTGGACTTTTAAGATTAAATGCAAATTTCACCCTCCTTTTACTAAACGCTTACTGTCTTAACTGGATGAAGCTTGAACTTTGTTCTCACTCTAGTATATTAACAGCATTTGAAACCACCCTCCCAGTCTCCCTCTCCTTTCTCCAGCACTTCTATTTTCCCTTTGTATCTTAGACCAGTTAAATGTAGCATGCACTATGGTGACCCAGCAAAGTTGAAGTACAACTTCTTTTCAAAACGCAGTTACCACAAAATTGAGTTGGATGAGAGATGACTGCATTTTAAAAAGTGGATATTTCCTCCTGTGTCTCTATTAGATTCGCTTTGTCTTTCGTATATACAGACAGCTACCCTAGTTTGTGTGTGAGCTAAGTGTGCAGTGAAAGTTACAGCTTTGTTTTTTTATGAGTAAGAAAGCTGTTCCTGAATCTCATTTTTATTTGAGATAAAATCCTGTAGAAGTCATGTTTATAGTATAGTATCATGTTCATTAGAGGGAATAAAGAGTTTTGCCTAAGGGTGCAGGTGTACATTAGTTTGCTTGGTCTGAGCTGTTAATCTCCTCAGTGGCTGTAGTTCTAGCAATGTGACTCCTATAGTTATTAGTCCCAGGATAACATCACACTTTTGGAACTTAAGGGCTAGTCTAGCTAGGTATTAATTAATTTTAAACTTTGCATTTTTTTTTATCTTTCATTCTGTATTCAGCTGGAAAAACTCTTCAGATATTTAACATTGAAATGAAAAGTAAAATGAAGGCCCATACCATGACTGACGATGTCACTTTCTGGAAGTGGATCTCTTTGAATACAGTTGCCCTTGTTACGGATAATGCAGTTTATCACTGGAGTATGGAGGGAGAGTCTCAGCCCGTGAAAATGTTTGATCGTCATTCCAGCCTCGCAGGATGCCAAATTATCAATTACCGTACAGATGCAAAGCAGAAGTGGTTGCTTCTGACTGGCATATCTGCACAGGTAACACTTGTTAGTTTTTGCTGAAGAGAAGTGATCTAAGGCACTGTTTTGTTCAACACACACTTAAGTCTTTAAACCCACTTTTACTGAATTTGACTTATTTTAAAAGACTTTCTTTTTAAAAATAATGATTGTTGCCTTATACCTTTACCCTGTTACGAAATTTGAGTACTCCTATCAGTTTTTAATTTTTGCAGATTAAGGAAAAATTGAGTGATTTAGAATTTATTTTGGAGTCAGTGTGCTGCAGAGTGAATCTGTATTGTTGTAGTAAAATGGTATAAAGAGATGACAGGATGAGATGTTTTATTCACATTAATCTTTAATAAGATAATTTTGGAGTTAAACTTTTGAAGTTAAGAAGCATCAAATCTACAATGAGAGACTAACAAGTACTGCTGAAGATGACAAACTATTGTAACTATTTCACTAATTGAATTTGAGATCTGGGTCATTGGTTCTCTAAAGTTGTGGTTTTTTGTTTTTTTTTTTAATTCTTTGTAGCAAAATCGTGTGGTTGGAGCTATGCAACTGTATTCTGTAGATAGGAAAGTTTCTCAACCTATTGAAGGACATGCAGCTAGTTTTGCACAATTTAAGATGGAAGGAAATGCAGAAGAATCAACATTATTTTGTTTTGCTGTGCGAGGTCAGGCAGGAGGAAAGGTAAGTTCCAATAATTATTTTAGTGAGTCTGTTTTGCTCTTTGTCATCTAAACTAGAAATATTCATCTTCCTTCCTTAGTTTCATTTAGATTTGTGGTGCCTGACAAACAGTATGTATAATCCTATTCTGCCATCTGTGGTTCTTACTTTTAACAGTGTCTTGTTGTGTAACCTAGGCTGGTTTTGAAGAAAGTCCTCTTGCCTCAGGTTCTGAGTGCTGAGATTATAGACCTTTAGAACGTTGTGCCCACTGAGCTCTTTGTCTTTATCAAACACTTTTTGTTGTGTCTTTCACTTTACTCTGCATAGACTCATTAGGGTTACTAAAATACCCGTTTCTGTGTATGGTACATGTCAAGAGTCTGATTCATTAAGTATTGCCCAAGTTGAAGTCTGTTCATCCTTTTACATTCCCCAGGTGACTTGAGGTAGATGGAATGGACAGCAGCTTAAATTAGAGAGCCTCATCTCGAGCTGTGTATTGAAATTACCTCGACAGGTTAAAATATTTTGTGTTGGAATTCTTAGTTGAGGATAGCAGAAACAAGGTCTGGTTGATTGGAGTATAAAAAGCTTATTGACAGGTATTGGATACCTAGCAGTAGCTAGGACAGCTGTATAACTAAATTTGGGGAAGGAGAAATAAGAAAAAAATGGGTGGTAGCCAGGCTTCCAGGCAGAAGTCACGCTGTAGATCTCTGAATTGTGCTTCTGTTAGGCCTGCACTGCTGGGGGCCTGGTGACTCAGTTTGCTGCTATTTTCACTGCCAGAGTAGACTCTCCCTCAGTCTTAAAATAACCTGATGTCCTGAGCTCCCTCTTTGACAGAGTCACATGGCTTTCATGCTAGCATTGAGAGACATGGAAAACAACTGTTTGCTGTCTCTAAAATGGAATACTGGCTGTACTCGCTACCAGAACTTGACTACTATCCTCTCTGTCCCCAAGTCAGAAAAAGACAAACTTCATCATTATTTTCTATTTCTCCACCGCACTCACCCTAGTAAGTAGTTTTTAAGAATGAAAAACTAGATTGCAGCCATCTGAATCCTAGCACTTAAGAGGAGCAAGTGATACTCTGTCTGGACCTTTCATTCAGTCCTAAGAGTGCTGCAATTCCAGGTTTGTCCAACTTTTTTACATAGCTTCCAGGGATTGAACTTGGGTGGTCGGCCTATCCAATAAATGCTTTTACCAGCTGGGCCATCTTGTCAGCCTCAGCATGACTTCAAAGGCAGACCCACTCCCTACCTCTATAATTTTGCCAATTCAAGAGTGGTACGTAGCTTGGTATGGTGACACATGCCTTTAATCCCAGCACTTAATCCCAGGCACACAGATCTCTGAGCTCTAGACCAGCCTAGTCCTGATTTTTTTTTTTTTTTTCCCTAGATCATCCTGGGCTACATTGTGAGACTTTGTTTCAAAACCAAAGTAATCAGGAAAATGTGTGACTGGGATCATCCTTCCCCCATTCAGTTTTAATTTATGGAGAAGCATCCCACAGTATAGATGTTCAAATAGTTCACTTACCATAGGACAGTTGGTTGTTTTCATTTGGCCTCAAAAATACTTGCAATGACCAAGTGATACATGATTTAGGTTGATAGATTTTATTTTCTTTTAACAGTTACATATCATTGAAGTTGGTACACCACCCACAGGAAACCAACCCTTTCCAAAGAAGGCAGTGGATGTTTTCTTTCCTCCAGAAGCACAAAATGACTTTCCTGTTGCAATGCAGGTATTTTATCAAAATAAAAATCTCATCTTTATATCCTGTTCACAGTTGATAGGAGTAATGTTTAAAAGAATTACTCTAAGATAAAAATTATTAATAAAACTTGGTAAAATAATATCTGACTTTCATGTAATACTTGGGCTATCTTAAGTTGTCAGAATTATTTGTCTTGCAGATTTTATTCATACTCTTGTGTTTTATGTATTTGCTTGAGCTATCCCACATTTAAACAAGCTATAATGAAGGAAACCTTAAAATTATTTTAGCATGTTTTTCTTTAAGATTCATGTCAAAGTTTTATAGACACTGTTCATTTTCTCTGTTCAGATCAGTGAAAAGCATGATGTAGTGTTCTTGATTACCAAGTATGGTTACATTCACCTCTATGATCTTGAGACCGGCACATGCATCTACATGAACAGAATCAGTGGAGAAACGATCTTCGTTACTGCACCTCATGAAGCCACAGCTGGAATAATAGGTGTCAACCGAAAGGGACAAGTAAGGAAACCTTGAAACTTAAGCATTTATGTAGCACATTATCATTAGTGCTTTTTCTTTTCCCAAAAGGTTAATTTTGGATATCAGAAAAGAGTTCTTAGTTGGGGGAAGGCAAAGAGATGAAGTGAGATAAAGGTCAAAGGACATAAAATATAATAAAATAGCATATGTAAGATTAACAGGTTTTGACATCTGTTCAATATGAAGATTAAAGTTAATAAAATTGTATTAGGATATATATATATACACACACACACACACACATATATATATATATAGTGTGGGGGGGTTGATAGGAGGTGTCTGTTATTTTTCTATCTCTAAAGATATCTATCTAAAGATTTACTTTGTGTCTTGAGTATTTTAACTGCACATATGTGCACTCTGTTTGTGCAGTAGCTATGGAGATTAGAAGAGGGCATCAGGTTCCCTGCATTACAGAGGGTTAGTGAGCTACCATGTGAGTGCTGGGAACCAAACCAAGATCCTCTGCAAGACTAACAAGTTCTCTTATTCGCTGAGCCATCTCTCCAGCCTCTCCTACACTTGAGTTTTTGAGAAAAGATCTTTTCACTTTATAAATTGAGCCATTTCCTCAGTCCCCAGGATTTAGAAATAAAATATAGCTGTTCTTCAAAAAGCTAAACAAAAATTGTCGTGAGGGTCAGTTAGGATGGCCCAACAGGTAAAAGTGACCTGAGTTCAGTCCCTAGAACTTGGATGTTGTAAGGAAAGAGACTCTTGCATGTCGTCTTCTGATTCCTTATATGCACTGTGACAGAGGCATACATATACTCAAACACACATTACACACATATGTACACATACAATCAATAAATAAATGACAGGGGCATACCTATACTCAAACACACATATGTACACATACAATCAATCAGTCAACAAACAAACAAATTCATACATACACTAGAACACACATGTGCACACACATAATAAATAAATGTAATTTTAAAAGGTACCAAGTGATGTTATTTTTCTTTACTGTGACCATTTGCTATTCATCATGTGACATTATTTCAAAATACTCAATTACACATAATAAAATATACTTAGAAAGATTACTGGGGGCTAGCAGGCTGGCTCAGTAGTAGACATGCTTGTCAGCAGACATGGTGAACTGTGTGTGATCTCTTGGTCTCATGTGGTAGAAGGAGAGAATTGACTTCCACAAGTTGTCCTCTGACCTCCATAAACATGTTATGTTTGTGTGTTTATGCATGTGCGTGCATATACACATGCTAAATAAGTATAACTTAAGTAAATATAAAAAGATTGCTATATAGAATTCAGCATGGGTACACACCTTTAATTCCCACACTTGGAAGGTTGAGACAGGAAGATTTCTGTGCATTGTAGGCCAGTCAAGGCAGTGAAGACCTATCTCAAAAAATAAAAAACAAACAAGATAATAAGATAAAAAGGTTGTTGTCTAACTTGTGTGTGCATTGACTTGGTTTTATTTACCTTGATTATTTTTAGGTCTAGTAAATGGCATGAATCTGTTTAGTTTTGTAGTATTTTATATGTCTGAGTATTTTGCCTCATGTTTCACATGAGGGGATGAGAAGAGGACATCAGAACCCCTGGAACTGGAGTAACATATGGTTGTAAGCCTCCATGTGAATCCTGGGAATCAAACTGTGGTATTCTGGAAGAGTACCCAGTGCTCTTAGCCTCAAGGCCGTCTCTCCAGCACCTGTTTTTAGTTTTCATGTGCAATTTCATCTTTAAAGTAAAAGTTTTTATCACCAAAACAAAAACACAAAACAAAACAACAACAACAAAAAAACGCACTACAATGTATAATTGCAAAATCTTTTTAATGCTGTCTCAGAAGAACTGTTTGGTATAGAGCCAGTTAGGCGCATTTATTTTTTATTATCAAAAGAAGCAAATCTATGGGAAAAATCTGTTTTAGTTACAAATTTGACAAACTCCTCTTTATAGGGTTTCTTTCCTGTTATCCCTAAGACAGGATCCATCAGCTGTAGAGATACAAATTCTACTTGCATCCTACTTCTTAACTGAATGTCTAATATCAGAAGGCCGTATGTTAAAGTATCTATTGTGGTGTCTGGGAAGTTAGCCAGTTAGGTAGGGTATCATACAGTTGATATTAGCTGTTCTGAATTTGAGATATTTGGTAACTTCATATTTTCTAGCAAGTACTTCTCATTCTGTGAGAGTATAGTACTGAAATTTTTAAAAAAAAAATTCTACCATGAAGTATTTTATTTTCTTAGATGGTTAAAATTCTTAAATGGTTAGTATTGTAGTGGTTTGTCATTTATTGGTTTTCCTCCAGGTTAGTATATATATTCTTCCCAAACATAAACATCTTTCATTTAATGAGTCTTTGATGAAAAGTGATATGTTTATGATGAGGCAATTTTGTCTCTGACCTCAGCTCTAGGCTCAGGTGCTTTGGGTCCCTGTAATGGAAGAGTCTGTCCTTGTAACATTTTTGTCAACTGATTTAAAGCTGCTTGCTGCCTCAGTTTCTTGTCTTCTTTAGGAAAGGGGCTTACCTTTGTTTAACTGTATTTCTAGCACCATCCAAAGGTGGTTTTGAAAAATAAGTAGCTCTCGTCTCTCTATTTAGTTGTGTCTCTGATGGAAAAAAGGTCAAGAATGAGTTGTTAGGTGTGATTTGATAACAGGAGCCTGCAGGGCTTCCTTCTCTCTGCTACTGTGCTGGTGTTAAAGGTAAAGCTCAGCATAGAGCTCCTTCTATAATTTTACCACACGCTGTAACCATTGATAGCGAAGGTTCTACAAATTACCATGGTGGCATAACAAGCAAGTGTCAGAATAATCAATTACCTTGTGACTCAGTCTAAACAGATTTAACACAATGCAACTATTCTCTGATGGTTAACCTGCAGGTCCTGTCAGTTTGTGTGGAAGAAGAGAACATAATTCCTTACATCACCAATGTCCTACAAAATCCTGATTTGGCTCTGAGAATGGCTGTGCGGAACAACTTAGCTGGTGCTGAAGAACTCTTTGCCCGGAAATTTAATGCTCTTTTTGCCCAGGGAAACTACTCAGAGGCTGCAAAGGTGGCTGCTAATGCACCGAAGGTAAATAGTTTTGAAATTAATGTTGCTGTGCTTGAGATGTTCTTAATAGTCTTTAGGAACCAGCTCTGTAAGATTAACGACTACTTTCCAGTTAACTTTCCCTTGAGTAGAACATGATGATCACTTCTCAGTGTCTCTAGGTTTGGTGTGTGAAATGCAGACTCGTAGAAGCGTGTGTAGAGCTCTAGACCTGAAGCTGATGGAGGCGGAGTTATGTCCAGTTACTAAAATACAAAAATTCTTTGGGCTCATAATTGATGGCTATCTATTTAATTTGAACAGTTACTCAATAAATGGATTGTCTTGAACTTGTTGTGAGTAGAGTTGTCAGAAAATGAGAAGAATTTATTTCCATAAGCTTTTACCTTCTTTATGTTGAACTGAATTGACACCCTGCATTCTTAACTAGTTTTATGAAGTTTGTACTTCTTGAACTTGATTTGATGACTAGTGGTTACTATTTCATGAATGTTCTTATCTTTTTTCTGCCTTTAAATTATTTTTATTATTTTTTGAAATTTTAATATAATTACATCATTTTACTCTTCCCCCTTTTTCCTTCAAGCCCTCTCATATACCCCTCTTTACTTTCTTTCAAATTCATGATCTTTTCATCATGATCATATACATATGTGTATATGAACATACTCTTGTGTTTTTTTAGTTATCTTTTTTTTTTTTTTTTTTTTTTTTTTTTCCGAGACGGGGTTTCTCTTTATAGCCTAGGCTGTCCTGGAACTCACTCTGTAGACCAGGCTGGCCTCGAACTCAGAAATCCGCCTGCCTCTACCTCCCAAGTGCTGGGATTACAGGTGTGCGCCACCACTGCCCAGCAAACATACTCTTAAATACATAAATACAACCTGCCCAGCCTGTAATCCTCCTATTTATTTATTTATTTATTTATTTTTTTATTTTGGTTTTTTGAGACAGGGTTTCTCTGTATAGCCCTGGCTGTCCTGGAACTCACTCTGTAGACCAGGCTGGCCTCAAACTCAGAAATCCGCCTGCCTCTGCCTCCCGAGGAAGACTGTTAATGCCTATTTCACATATTGACATAATTACCTTGAAAATTTTCTAATTTTGAATAATTTTGTGTCATTGAACCAGAGATGTAACAGCCTTTATTGAATCTTTGCACTGTGTGGTGACTGTTTGAAATGTGGAGACAATTGGACAACCATGTGGTTCAGATTGACCTAAGGACATGGAGGGTTGTTAGTGTTACTGGGTCACTGAGGAATCTTCAACCTTTCTTTTTCTTAAAGGGAATCCTTCGTACTCCAGATACCATCCGTCGATTCCAGAGTGTCCCAGCTCAGCCAGGTCAAACGTCGCCTTTACTTCAGTATTTTGGAATCCTTTTGGACCAGGGCCAGCTGAACAAGTATGAGTCCTTAGAGTTATGTAGACCTGTACTTCAGCAAGGGCGGAAACAGCTTTTGGAGAAATGGCTGAAAGAAGATAAGGTACATTAATTTTAATTAATATAATTTTTATTTGTTTGAATACCATGTTAGCAAGTTAAAATTGTTGGTTTCTACCAAAGTATCTCCATTTGTTATTTGTCACTTGTGGAAATAAAATAAAAACCGACCTTGCCGTTTTAATACATGATCCAGGACTATTGCTTGGTAGTTAAAACTGCTAGACTAGAAGTAGTTACTGTTGGTTCGGCCTTGGGAAAAATTAGAGAGGCTTCCTTCATTGTACAGGTATATTTATCAGTGTATTTGACATTGCTTAACATGTGATCTTCCACATCCCACCCTTGATATGCATGCCCAGTAGTTCCTGCTTGCTCTCTCTCTGTAAGAATTTATAAACTGTCATCAACATTGTAACTTTTGATGCTGGTAGACATACTTGGGTGTGCGACAGCCAAGGTGGCTGTCTTTAATGTACTAAGGTTCTGTTTGACAGTGATTTCATAGAACGTTAATGGTGTCAACGTGAAAAAGTATTCAAAAGTTTTTAAATGGGAGTCTTTTGTAAACAATATCTTATTATTTTTATATTGTATTATATTTCAATATAAAATGTATCATTTACTAGCTTTCTGTGCTGTCAAATATACCTTTTATATTCAGCACTTTGTACTGTTTTGTAGTGCACATTTTTTTAATGTAGAATGAAAAACAAGCAATAAATATTATTTGTAGGTCAACAAACACATTTAAAGCAATTTAGAATTATTCTTTTTATACAATTACACAAGAAAGCCTTCCTGCCTAAAGTAAAAGTTTGAGTTGCCATGTTTTATGCCACTGTCAGGACTGAGGTAACACTCTTGGAGTGATTACTCACCAAGATATTAAACCTTTCAACATCAGTATGTGTTGGTGGCATTGGTACATTCTGGAGTCTTAAGTTCCTGTTTCTGTTTCTTAGCCTGTCTTCTGCCAGTCTTGTCACAGAGTACTAGAGGACAGTACTTCAGACTTAAAAGACTTAACACATACCATTCTCTTCTAAAGAATAGCCAGGCTAACTTTTTTTTTTTTTTTTTTTTGAGACATGGTTTCTCTGCAGGCTAACATTTTTGAAAGCTGTTCTAATTGAATAAGATAACAGGATGGGAACGGCCAGGATAACTGAGATGACCTATATAATAGGGTATTAATCTTTAAAATATTATTACAACAAAATTATTTTGTTAGTAGTCATCATGGCTCATTTGTAGTAAGGTTCATTCATTGTCCATTAGCATATTCAGGCAAAACGTGTAGAATGACAGAACTTCTTTGAACACATGGGCTTATAAGGGCTATTCTTTTTAGAAAGTTACCACTGGGACTCAAGAGATGGCTCAGTGGTTAAGAATACATACTGTTCTTGCAGAGGATTTAAGTTAAATTCCCAGCACAAATGTCAGGGAGCTTACTGCTGCCTATAACTTCCAGAGGAATCTGACCTCTGTAGTCTCTGTCATTCATGTATGTATATGTACATAAACCCATACAGTGTATGTAATTAGCACTTTAGAGGCAGAGGCAGGCTGACTGAGTTTGAGGCCAGCATGGTTTACATATTGAGATTTTGTTCCTGTTCCCCTCTCCAAAAGAAAGGAAAGAAAAAAGAATAAAGTAGAAAATTGGACTGGGAGTGTGGGTTAGTGATATAGGACTAATTTATTTAGGATATATAAAGCCATAAGTTCAATTCCCAAAACTGCAAAAATGAAAAACAGAAAAATCATGCAAAGCAGAACTCTTAGGAAGCTGATTTGAAGAGCTATCTGCTGTCTACTACCTGGAAATTGTAAACTTTGTATCTATTTGGCTTTGTAATTTAGTGTGCTGCCTAACCGCCTCAAATCCTAAAGTTAAAAAACAAAGATAAATGACCAATCTTAGGGATCTTGAATTGTAAAAGGTGTATCCTAGTTTAAAAATTATCCCTATAGTTTAAAAATAACCCTCGTGTAAGTAGAGGGTCATTGGCATTCCTTCCTTAGCTTCCCAAATGTCAGTATTACAGGCCAACTGGCATTGTTGATTTTTATTGACAATACTGCCTCAAAAGTTGTATTATCAGGGGACTGAAGAGATAGCTTATTAGTTCAGGGCCTCTATTACTCTTCTAGAGGACCTGAGTTCAGTTTCTAGCACCCGTATCATATGGCTCACAGTCACCTCCAACTCTAGCTCCAGGGGATCTGATGTCCTCTTCTGCTCTCTGTGGGCACACACACAAATAGAAAAACCAGTGATATTATTTTTGAAAAGTTGAAAACATAGCTGTAATATTTGAATAGCTTAGTTAAATGTATAAGATTCTACTATAAAGAAAATGTACATTCTTAACAAGGTAATAGGAAATACCTAAAAGCAAAATTTCAGTAGGGCAAAGTAAAATCCTTGTTTAAGGAGTAGTTCTGGAGAATTATACAGCATCATTACTGTGATTATAGTATTCTGATTTTTACCAGTCACAAACCCTGTATATTTATCGTTTTGGAAAATGAGTATCTTCTATATGAGTTATACTTATAGAGAAATGGTATCAACTACTTGGCTTTAAAAAGCTGATGGGTCACTAACAAAATTCTTTTTCCTTTGGCAGCTGGAATGTTCTGAAGAACTGGGTGATCTCGTAAAATCTGTGGACCCAACATTAGCACTGAGTGTGTACCTCAGGGCCAATGTCCCTAATAAAGTCATCCAGTGCTTTGCAGAGACAGGTCAAGTCCAGAAGATTGTTTTATATGCTAAAAAAGTGAGTTCTGTGGGAAAAATTATCAACACAAGTTTATTAAAAAGAAACAAACAAAAAACCAAAAATTGGCCTTAACTTGATTATTTTTTTATTGGTCAATTTCTTTAAACTTTGAACTACTTGGAAAAGCGTAGAAAGTTCCTTCTTAACTATTATATGTAGAGTTCATACTTAGTGTTAATTCCTGAAAGCAACTACAATTTTAAGATTGTGGAAAACATGTTAAACATGTGTTAGTTCAGTTTTTGAAATTGTCATTCATTGACAAGAAGTAATATAATTATCTTCTAGCAAGTATGTCATCACAGTGGTCTAATTGAATGTCTTATAGTATAAATACAGTTTTATAGCCACCAGTAGTTCTCTGTTAATAATATTTTATTATAGAAAAGACCTTTAGTGCTTTAAAAATGAAACTTTGTGGCATTGAAGTCTTTGTCTCTTTGTAGGTTGGATACACGCCAGACTGGATCTTTCTCCTAAGGAATGTCATGCGGATCAGCCCAGACCAAGGACAGCAGTTTGCTCAAATGTTAGTTCAGGATGAAGAGCCTCTTGCTGATATCACACAGGTAATGGCATCTTAAAACTCTACTTCATGGAGTTAAGAGATTGTGGGGAGTCTTGAGTTTTACAAACTTTTCAGAAAAATAAACTAAACTTTGACCTGACAGAAATTGTATTTGTGTATGCTTGCATGGATAAACCCTGAATATCTTACCACAGCATATTGCAAAAGAATAGGGAGCAAGATACCATCAATAAATCGTTGTTAAATGATAAATATTAATACAGGCAGAGATGCACCATGGCTTTTGTGCGGAGGTCAGAGCACAACTTGAAAGAGCACTTTTTGCAGCCTGGTTGTATCAGGTAGTCAGCTTGCATACAATTGCTTCTATCCACTGAGCTATTCACTTAATTCTTGTCACAGAAAACTGGTTTTTTTTTTTGTTTGTTTTTTTGTTTTTTAGTAAATAGTAATAGTAAATAGTATTTACTGTTTTGAAACAAAACAAATACCATTTGCATTAGGGAAGGATATGTGAAAATGAAATACTTTATCTTGGCCAAAAAGCCAAGAAATGATACATATGAATGATAAAACACAAGCAGTGGGTCCTCCCCTGGTGGGGAGGAGGGACATAGAGAATGTGTAGGTCAGTTTTTCATATGTCTATCCTTTCGGTTTTAAAAACTAACTAAGAAAACTGAATTTTCAGTAACTTTAGTTTTAGTTTGTTTTGATAGAGTCTCATTATTTAGCTCTCTAATCTTGGAATTCATATGTAGACCAGGCTTGTCTGGAACTTCTTACTGCTGCTTCCTGAATACTGCTATTGATAAGTGTGAGCTGGTGTACCCATGTACCTGGTTTCTCTGGCAATTTAAATATGAGGCTAGGTTGTCTAAATAATATTCTTTAAATCTGGTGTTCAGGGTTTAGCTAGATGGCTCAGCAGTTTAGAGCCCTGTTGTTACAGGAGACCCCGGTTTGATTCCCAGCACCCACATGGTGGCTGACAGATATCCTTAATTCTAGTTCCACTGGCTATGTTGTCTTTCTTGGGCCTATGTGAACACCAGGCATGCATGTGAAATAGATGCATACCTGCATGCAAAACTCAAAGTATATGTGATATACTCACACCTAAAAAATAAGTTAATATCAAAAAAATGGTAAAACTCATACTTGTTCTTTGCATTTTTATGAAAAATCATGTTAATATTATATATACAATGTCAATAGTTGGGAATTTTTATATTAATTTTTATTAATGTAAAAGTAGTTTTAACAAATGGCTTTCATATATGCACATTTATATTTTCCCCCCACACTGATCACCCTTTTGGTCTTACAGCTCCTCCCCCTTCAGTAGTATCTTATATCTGATTTTTCTCTTTTAATAGATTGTGGATGTCTTTATGGAATACAATCTAATCCAACAATGTACTGCCTTCTTACTTGATGCTTTGAAGAATAATCGCCCCTCTGAAGGTCCCTTGCAGACGCGATTGCTTGAGATGAATCTTATGCACGCACCTCAAGTATGTGTTGTTGTCTTAGTTAGGATTTCTACTTCTGTGAGAAGCACCATGACCAGCAGTAACTTGGGGAGGTGGGGGAATGGTTTATTTCTCCTTAAAATCCTTCACTCCATCACTTAGGGAGGTCAGGAGTAGGAACCTGGAGGCAGGGACTGAGGTGCAGGGGCCATGGAGGAACACTGCTTACTGGGTTGCTCAGCCTGTTTTTTGTAACCCAGGACTACCTGTCCAAGGATGGTGTTTTTCCTGGTGGGCTTTACCCCCTCCCATCTTTAGTCAAGAAAAGGCCCTACAGACTTGCCTATAAGCAGTCTGTTTAAGAGCATTTTCGAATTTGAGGTCAAATTTACACTTCCAAGATGACCGTTGGCTGTGTCAAGTTGACAAAAAATGTAGCCAGCAGAGTTGCCCTGCTTTTTAGTCTTGCCTCCAATCCTGTTTTTGTGGTTGATGATGCAGACGGTTACACATCGTCACTCAGAGTTTTGAGATGTTTATTTCCTAAGAAAATTTAGCTAGTACTTTTTGATACTTCATACTTATTTTTTCCAGTATTCAATCTTTTATTTTTGGTTGTGAGCCTAGCCTTTAATGGCTGAGCCATCTCTTAAGCCCTCAGTATTCAATCTTAATGTATTTTTTGGTTATTGGTGTATGCTGAAGTAAAGGAGAAGGAAAAACAAGCTCATCCTGTTTGTGGTTTTCTAGGTTGCAGATGCCATTCTCGGGAATCAGATGTTTACCCACTATGACCGGGCTCATATCGCTCAGCTGTGTGAGAAGGCAGGCCTGCTGCAGCGTGCGTTAGAACACTTCACTGATTTATATGATATAAAACGTGCAGTTGTTCATACCCATCTTCTTAACCCTGAGGTATTCTTTTTTTCTTACCTGTTAGTTGTGATTAGTCAGTGTGTTTGTACTGGGTGATAGTAAGTTATTTATTTGTTTGTTTGTTTTTTTTCCTCCTCTAGTGGTTAGTGAATTACTTTGGGTCCCTATCAGTTGAAGATTCCCTAGAATGTCTCAGAGCCATGCTGTCTGCTAATATTCGTCAAAATCTACAGATCTGTGTTCAAGTGGCTTCTAAATATCACGAACAGCTGTCAACTCAGTCTCTGATTGAACTCTTTGAATCATTCAAGAGTTTTGAAGGTAATTAGGAATGTCAGAACTGGTACAAGAGAGGCACTTATAATCAAACTGTTGGAGATTGTCTTTCTGAAAAACATTTTTATGGGACATGTTCTCTGAGCATGGGATCCTAGAGATAAACAGTGTAGAAGAACATTTGCTTGGATATTTTATGAACTAAAGGCAGAAATTTGGGATAAGAAATGCATTGTCTTTGTGTTAGTTGCATAAGATGAAAATACTGATGACTAATTACAGTAATATTGCAAGCACAACTCTGACTCTTGTCATAGTGAACATTTCTCAGAAGGGCATTTTGTGCCTCAGTAAGTAGCCCAGCAGTGCTTCTCTGCCTTGGTCCTGGAGGTGCTTCTCGTGGGTGACTGCTTACTGTGTGGCAGATGCCCTGTGTACGCACCTACTTAGCACCCATTACGTCATAGTAGCACCAGTCCCACAGAGTGTGCTGGGCTCATCACTTGTTAGGTGGCTCTTAGGATCACTAGCTCGACCCTGGTCCCTTCTTAACTTTCTCTCTGTGTATCTCTCTCTCTCTCTCTCTCTCTCTCTCTCTCTCTCTCTCTCTCTCT